CAAAAGTCGGGGGACATTTCCCGCTATATTTATTATCCGGTCAATTGATTGAAGCGCACTCTCAATTTTTGTAACTTTTGCCTGGTGCCGTTTTAGACTTTTTAAAAGTTTAGCCCGTTCAACAATTTTTACAGACATAATTTCATTGGTGGATTTCACGAAATCTTGCAGTTTTCTTAAATAACGCTGATTTGAATAATCTTCCTCTTCATAATTCAATGATTCATCAGAAGATAAATTATTTTGTTCTTCCGCTTCATAAGTAAACGATTCGTCGGATGATGAATTATTCTGTTCCTCCACTTCGTCTTCAACTTCACTGACGTCTTCATATATAGCCTTCGAAGTCGATGGTTGATTTTGGACTTGTGTTGATACCCACAGTTGGTGAAAAATTGTTGGCCTGATTCATCTTTGTTGATGCTGATATGGATGTTGAAGAACAGTTTTTTCTTTGACTGTTTATCGGTTTTATATCAGTTAAGCATCCCGATACAATCTTAATTCCCGAACCAACACTATCCACTGGCCAGACTCCATTTCCCTCTTTAGATGAGATACTAATTTGACACTCTTTTTACCACGAAGAGTTGATACATTGGTATTCATATTTGTTGCACTGGTTTTCATTTTGAATGATGAAGTAAACTGAATTATACTGAACATTTTCCAAAGTATTAATGTACAGTCAATCTACAGTCAGCCAATGAAAACAGCTTATGCTTATTTTTATTAAAAATGAAATTTCCCATGTTCTAATTGTAAGGATCCCAGATATTAATTATTTTGTTCTATATTTCTAATACACATATGCATCAAACCCCATCGTAAGTGAAATAGAATAGTACTGTTCACAACATTTTTTGAATTTTGCAATAACTGGGCTAACATCTTGTTCTATATCCCCCCTAATAAACATATGTGCATACTTAATAGACGTAATAAAGTGCATCGTTAGAGAGGCCATCTCAAAATATTTTTTGGAGTATCCCATAGTCTAGTTTGTAAGTCATGAGAGAACCTCATTGATACGTTCACATTATTTTTTTTATATATAGCAGAACCGCAGTAAGACAGCTGGGTATTACATTTTTGTGGTAAATACTACACATTAATATTTCTCAGTTGCCACTTAATTTAATAATGTATTGCTCATTTCCTATTAAGAAAGCAATTATACTTAATGACTAAAAATATGTAATAAATGTGGTACAATTATCTATCAAAATAAAATTAAAGTGATCAACAAAAATTAGCCATATGGTCTTGAGTTAGCTAGCATGCTTAAAATTATTAATATAGATTTATTAAAGTCTGTTTTAAAAATTAAAAGTCATTGCGTATATAGTGAATTTTTAAAGATTCCGGGGTGTTAAGAGAGTTTGATTCATATAAAGGATATTTATTGGGTATTATCTACTTAGTTAAAAATTTCATTTTAATTGATATATTACCAATTAGTGGTTTATTAAATGTATACGCAATCTGAACATCAATGTAATGCTAGATGTTAATTAGTGATTTATTTACTTTTGGATAAACCTAGAAAATGGAATGAAAGAGGGATATTTCAAATTGAATATATAATTTGAAAGTTTTGTCTATTTTGCCTTATTAAATTTCTATTATTATTATTTGTTATTCCAAAATTTATAATATAAAGTCCAGTTTCGAGCTCCAATATTTATCACATTAATTATTTATTTATTAAAAAGTACACACCTTAATCAGAAACAAAGGTCAGTCAATCAATAAAAAAATAGCAAAACGGTAAAGTCACATAAGAATTAATATATCTAAAAACCATGATAACAACAACAGAAACAACAACATAAGTAGGTAATACAAAATACTAAAAAGAAATTAAAAATCCGATAACTCAATTGTGAGAATAGAAAATTCTTTTCATATGTGCTAAAGAAGTATTGAAAATGTCCAGGCTATATATTTAAGTAAATGCAGTGCAAAGTGAATTTAGTGGTAGGCTACGGATCTTATTTTTAGAATTAATATCATATGAATGGTATTATAATGTAATACCGTGTGTTCAAAACTATTGTTACTTTTTCCGCTGTTCTGTTTTAGATATTAATCACGTTTTTTTGTCCCTCACATAATTTCAATTCTTAGATGTTTAATTTTTAGAAATGATGGCACCGGATGTGGGTATTTTTAGATATGATGTAATGTTCTATTTTTAAAAATGATGTCATGCCAGATGTACTAGTCATCGACCTTGTGGTTGTCTGCGGTCAAGGTCTCCTCCTCACTTTATTTCAGCTTTGTCATTTATACACTACTTTTGTAAATATTTTAGTTTAGATACACCACTTGTATATTGTAAATACGTAGTTTGTTAAGGCATATTGGTATAAAAGCATTTATTTCCAGCATTATAACCATCAACAACAATGTACTTAATTTTAAGATTAACCTTAAAATGTTTTTGACATCACACACCGCTTGTTGCATAAAACACGAAATACAATTAGGCATTCCAAATCACGTGATATTTTGACATTCAATATGGCCGNTATATTGTAAATACGTAGTTTGTTAAGGCATATTGGTATAAAAGCATTTATTTCCAGCATTATAACCATCAACAACAATGTACTTAATTTTAAGATTAACCTTAAAATGTTTTTGACATCACACACCGCTTGTTGCATAAAACACGAAATACAATTAGGCATTCCAAATCACGTGATATTTTGACATTCAATATGGCCGGCGATTGGCATACAAACGATATAAACAGTGTACGTTCATATGGAAATAGATCTGAATTTCCGTATAATTCGTTACCTGCGGCCATTTGTGTCTACCTGAGCAATGAAACAACCCTTTTTGACCTGAATAACATTAATATTGGCCTGTACTACCCTACAAATGTAAGAAATTTATTTATTTCGCTCGTAGAACGTGATAGTAGTGTGTGGTTTTGTTTGTGCTCTTTCGTTCTTGTTTTGTCAATTCTGACTAATAGTAACATCTAAAGATGGCAAATTATGTTAAAAGCATGTACTTGCTTCAACTAGAAAAAACTTGCAATGAAGCTGGTGTTAGATACTTCGAGAAAACAAGGCAGATAAATGTGGATCCTTACTCTCTTCAAGAAGCTGATTTTAACCATGAAATTGAATCTATTCCACCTATTTCTAACATGGATATAGTAAGCAACTTGGTTCTCACTCATATCTATTACACCAGAGAGCAGATGAAAGCTTACAAAAGTCTTCAGGCCGACAAATATTTCGCTGCAGGCTTTGTGGATAAAGTTGGCATCAAACTAATTAACGATTATGTGCTGTTAGTTGGCAAAGTGTTGCATTTTATTAAGTCTAAGTCTTTATTTGTTCCATTATTTTACATACATTAAATAAACATTTACCATATAGGTTTAAAATTTGTCATAAAATAATATATAAAATCTTAAAATAAAAAATAACTAAAAAATAATTATTTAACTAATATGTAAAATGCAAATGTTTTTATTAACTTATTAGGTACTAGTCAAATAGGTAAATTATATAAGACAATTTTTGTTTCAGGTTCAACACTCCATGAAGGCCAGAGAACCAAAGCTAAGAGTTTGGGTTATAGCAGAGAGACATGGTGGGATTTGCACTGCACATTGNAAATACAATTAGGCATTCCAAATCACGTGATATTTTGACATTCAATATGGCCGGCGATTGGCATACAAACGATATAAACAGTGTACGTTCATATGGAAATAGATCTGAATTTCCGTATAATTCGTTACCTGCGGCCATTTGTGTCTACCTGAGCAATAAAACAACCCTTTTTGACCTGAATAACATTAATATTGGCCTGTACTACCCTGGAAATGTAAGAAATTTATTTATTTCTCTCGTAGAACGTGATAGTAGTGTGTGGTTTTGTTTGTGCCCTTTCGTTCTTGTTTTGTAAATTCTGACTAATAGTAACATCTAAAGATGGCAAATTATGTTAAAAGCATGTACTTGTACTTGCTTCAACTAGAAAAAACTTGCAAGGAAGCTGGTGTTAGATACTTGGAGAAAACAAGGCAGATAAATGTGGATCCTTACTCTCTTCAAGAAGCTGATTTTAACCATGAAATTGAATCTATGCCACCTATTTCTAACATGGATATAGTAAGCTACTTGGTTCTCACTCATAGCTATTACAGCAGAGAGCAGATGAAAGCTTACAAAAGTCTTCAGGCCTACAAATATTTCGCTGCAGGCTTTGTGGATAAAGTTGGCATCAAACCAATTAACGATTATGTGCTGTTAGTTGGCAAAGTAAGTGTTGCATTTTATTAAGTCTAAGTCTTTATTTGTTCCATTATTTTACATACATTTAATAAACATTTACCATATAGGTTTAAAATTTGTCATAAAATAATATATAAAATCTTAAAATAAAAAATAACTAAAGAAATTATTATTTAACTAATATGTAAAATGCAAATGTTTTTATTAACTTATTAGGTACTAGTCAAATAGGTAAATTATATAAGACAATTTTTGTTTCAGGTTCAACACTCCATGAAGGCCAGAGAACCAAAGCTAAGAGTTTGGGTTATAGCAGAGAGACATGGTGGGATTTGCACTGCACATTGTAGTGCATGGCAGGGCTTGGGGAGGTTTGCAGTCACATTGCAGCTGTATTGTATGCCACCGAATATGCTGCTAGCCTTAATCAGACAATGACTTGCACAGACAAGAAATCAACTTGGCCAGTACCATCACAACGCGGTGTGGATCCAACACCAGTAAAATTGATGGATTGGGGCAAAACCAGTGAGCAAAAAAATTATATTGATGTTCCAACTTTGGATGAACGAGGCATCGAGTCCTTTTTAAGAGGGAATTCAAAAAGAGGGTTGTCAAACCCCTTTAATGAGAATTGTTTCTCCATTTGCTGAGGAGATATCGACAACATCAAAATTAATGTTACCATTTTTCTTTGATATACAGGGTGTATCTAAATAACACCGAAAAAATTCAAGGGGCGATTCTCCGATGAAAATTAATAGGGGTCTTTGGTATAAAATTTTTTGAAAAAACCCTCCCCTGAAAAGTTACGCNGGATTGTGTCGGTGTTCCGCATAATTAAGTAAGTATACACTTTATTTTTATATGATACATAACGTACTATCTTGAGATATGCCGGTATCGTTAAAAATGTGAGGTTAGATGTAATTTGTTTTGCTGTTTTATTTCGATTTGTGTCAGTCTTCTCAAAAATTATTGTTCATATCTTTCGAAATACGCACCGCAATTGGTGCAATATTTTGACTTGTGTCACTCTTGAATACATTGCAATTATTAATTATTTCAGATGCAAAATGTCGTATAGTGCGAAAACTAGACTTATTTTGAAATTATCCGCCAAACACAATGAACAGAATGTTACAATTTGGGAGGCTCAACATTCAAACACTGCTAAAGTTTGTAGCAAGCCCACCCTGTAGTCAAGGAATGAGTGAGTGCGGGAACGAAGGGGGGATTGGATAAGTGTAGTGTGGGGTGGTGTAGTTGGAGGGACGGAGTGGCAATTACCAGCGGACAGTAGCATAGTTAGGAAGCGCTGGCAAGTGAGCTGGCCGTAATATGTTATGTTCTTGTATTTGTGAATATGTTCGATAGTTGATTGAAGATTATATCTTATTTTAAGTTCAATCGCTTCTTAGATTCCACCCAAGAACCTACCCCACGTCCCTGAAGCTGCAACGAAGGCGGCAGGTTGCATTTTGGCGTCCAACTCGTGGCTGGAATTGATGAAGGCGTATTTGTGACTGATACGTGAAAGGTACGTTGACATGCGTGAACAATTGTTTGCTTCAAAAAGAAGTTAATAGAATTATTATGTAAGTACAATGACATTTTTTCGGACCAACCTGGTCTAACTCATAAGTATACACACGAGATAACTCTCCACGATTATTCGCCATTCTATTGCAAATCGTATCCCATCCCGTACGCGTATAGAGAGATAGTTCGCTGTCAAATAGCAGAAATGTTAGAGTGGGGCGTGATTCGACAACAACAAACGGAATACGTGAGTCCCTTAGTCACAGTTAAAAAAAAAGATGGTGCGATCAGAGTATGCTTAGATGCCCGTTTCCTAAACAAGAGAATGGTCAAGGACCATGTGGTTCCACCAAATCCAAGCGAATTGTGCTACGACTTCACTGC